CACAGCTTTCCTGCTTAAGTTCTTCTTTTGGTTCCAATTCAAGATCTATAAAATAGAGAAATGGCTCGAATGTTTTAACCACTTCCTTCATTGCTTTTCCATACTATAGCGTGAATTTAGCCCCCAGTTTACCTACCACTCTAGGTCTCCTGTTGAATATCCTTCTGCTTACATCCTTGCACATACCATTGTGTTTGACCAGCTCCCTTTGCCTGCAACTCTCTGCCTAGAGTGCCAGGCAGTTTGATGCGAGGTCATGGTATGTGCCATTGTTGATCCAAAGAATTAACACTAGTTAGCCATAGTTGCCTTATTGCCTTAAGGATCATCAAAATAAAAGCAAGAGATTGAAGCATGGGTAGAGAGCATTTTCTTAGATGGCTGGAAAGCTTCCGAGACAAGAAAAGAAAAAAAAAAAGTAATTATCAAAAGAAGGCACCAAACCGGGAAGGCTATACTGTATAGCACAAAAAAAAAGCATTGAATATAATGAAATGCAGAACGACCAAATCCATTCAATCCAACAGTCAACCCCAAAGATGCATTCATAAATTTTAACATGCTGTTCATTCAAAACTGGAATTTTCTCATAAATTAATATTGTTATATTAGCTTATAGGTATAAGTTATATAATAATGTGCATATTTAGACGTTGGTTAGGTTACGTGTTTATGTTCTGTTGGAGATTATTTGTGGTACGTGGGTGAAGCATTTACAGCATTGTGGTTCGAACAAAAGTCTCCAGCTTAGAAGCTCTTGTTCCAAAAGTGTTTGAACAGCATCAGTAGAGAGTCACGTGTAAACTGTTTTTCATTCATACAGGGGGGGGGGGGGGGTTTGGCAGGTGCATGGAATGGATTCTGACTTTTGTTTATGAGGACTGGCTGCTCCACCACAAAACCAAGAAACTTCCAGAAGACCAACGAACCAATACGGGTTTTAACGATGTGAAGCCTTGAAACTGCCACACACTCCCAAAAAATGTAATTAAACAATGGAATCTCTGAAAACTAGTACGAGTTCATTAGCAACATGCGAGACAAAACTCAAGGCATTATCTGAGGAGGAAATGAGAAATGGAGTTTTTTTTAGGCATGTTAGTGAAAACTGAGGATTTGATTAATATTTATTAAGGAAAACTTAATAGTAAATGCTTCTGGAAGAAGCATTTACCAGCAGCTGGATGAAATTACCAGTTTGACTGAGAAGGTGAAGAAACAGGAGTTACAAATTAAACAGCTTGAGAAAAAAAAATGAGATGGAAATTGAAGGGTAGTGAATTTGAAGACATTAACAGAAAAATAGTTACATACAACAAAGAACTTGTGAAATCCCTACAAACAAGAGAAAATATGGAGTTGGGTAAAGACAGCTCAAGTAATGGAATTATAAAAGGATTGGAAAAGTACAAGGAGGAAATGAAAAAAAAAAAACATGCACAAGTTGTAAAAAGAGAAACAATCTAAGAAGTATGTTTGGAAGTTAAAAATAGAAATGAGGAGCAAGAATCAGACATCAGACAAGCAATTAGGAAATGTCACAAACCGTAAATCGGTACAAAACATAGTAAATAGACACACCGGTAAGTCCATAATAATTTTTGGGCGTCTGGAAAAGGAAATACCATCTATGACAGCTGCAGAAGATAAAAAAAAAAAAAAAAAATAAGAGAAAACAGTATGTGAAGAAGGCCTCGTAACAAAAATGTAAAAATGATTTTTGTTGAATAGGCAAGTATCAGAAAGACATGAATCGCCCTTTAAAAGTGACATTTAATGGAGTGACTATCGTGATATATCACGATAATGTGATTTCTGTGTACTGAAAGAGGGGCATCAGAGATAGTTACTGGACGACAGAGCCAGAGTACATGGGGGAGTTGGGTGAAACCCTGGTTTGGCTTCAGGGAAAGTCTCGGGAATTTTCGAGGGTGTAGTAGTACCCTGGGATGCAATTCTTTTTACAATATTTTGGCATAGTCATCTAGCATATGCATCTGGGAATACCCAGTGCATAGGTTCAAATCCTCTTCATGGCTACAGTGGATTTTTTAACTTAGAAAGTTCCTTAATAAACTTGATTGGAAAGACTTGCTGTTAGGCAAGGAAGTAAATGAGTGGCATGTCAAATTTTGTGAAATACAGTATATGACACAGGTACAATTTTTTTTTATACCAAAACAGAGATGCAGAACTAGGAAACAAGATTGGTTCAACAGAAACTGCAAGAGGGCCAGAGCCCAAAAGACACAAAAATGGAATTAATATAGGAAGAGGCCAAACCCTCAAACATAAGAGCAATACAAAGAACAACAAAACAGCAGCAGCAGCAGTGAGAAGAAAGGAAGAAAAATTTTGAGAAAGGGATAGCAGACAAATGTAAATAAGAATTAAGCCTATATTATAAATTTATATAAAGCAAATTGCAGGTAAAGGGTAATATTCATAGGTTGAAAAGGGGAATAAGATTAACAAAAAATGAAAAGGAAATGTGTGAAACATTAAACAGTTCCAGTGTGTGTGTGTGTGCGCGCACGCGCGCGCAAAATGAAATTTTCCGAGAACCACACAATATAAGAATACCAGAGAACAACATAGAGCACATAGGTATCTAGAGATGAACTGGACAAAATGCTCAAGGATCTAAGTAAGGACAAAGCACGTACTGTAATTGGCCCGATGAAGTTTTACCTTGGGTTCTGAGAATGCACACCTGAAGCTCAGTATTCCAATTCAATTGATTTTTCAGACATCCCTGTGTACAGGAGTCCTAGCAGATATGTGAAAAAAGGCTAACATAGTTCCAATCTACAAAAGTGGCAGCAGGGAAGGCCCCCCCTCAAATATAACCCTGTATCACTGACAAGTTTAATGATTAAAATATTGGAAAAAATAATTAAAAATTAATGGGTAGAACACCTGGAGAAAAATGCTATAATAAGACAGACAGTATGGTTTTCAAAATCTGGAAGATCCTGTGTAACGAATTTATTCATTTTCTATGATAGAGCCACATAGATTTTACAGGAAAGATATGGTTGGGTTGACTGTCTATCTGGACCTAAAAAAGGCTTTCAACACAGTTCCAGAGTTCTAAGAGGTTGTTCTGGAAACTGGAACATACTGGAGGAGTGACAGGGAGGCTTCTAACATGGAGGAGAAATTTTCTAACAGAAAAATGAGGGCAGTAATCAGAGGCAATGTATCTGACTGGAGAAATGTCATGAGTGGAGTACTACAGATTCAGTTCTTGCACTGGTAATGTTTGTTGTCTACATTAACAACCTACCAGAAGGAACACAGAATTATATGAACATGTTTGCTGATGATGATGAGATACTAGTAAAGAGAAGAAACTTAGATAATTATCATACCCTTCAAGAAGACTTCAAGAAGCACCACTTGGCAAATAGAATTTAATGTAAATAAATGCCATGTTATGGAATGTGGAATAGAAGAAAATAGACCCCACACACAACCTGTAAATTATGTGAAAAAACTACAGTATAAATAATTCTGATACAGATTTAGGAGTGGCTCTAGATAGAAAATTATCACCTGAGGACCCCATAAAGAACATTGTGCAAGGCGCCTATGCTATGCTTTCCATTTCAGAAATGCTCTTAAATACATGGATGGTGAAATACTAAAAAAAATTGTTCATGACCTTTGTAAGACCAAAGGTGGAATATGCAGCAGTTGTATGGTGTCCATATCTTAAAAGGCACATCAACAAACTGGAAAAGGTGCAAATACATGCAACTAAATGGCTCCCAGAGCTGAAAGACAAGAGCTACAAGGAGAGAGATTAGAGGCATTAAATATATCAAAACTAGAAGATAGAAAAAAAGGCAATATGATCACTATGTACAAAATAGTAACGGGCATCGACAAAATTGATTGGGAAGAATTACCGAGACCTGGAACTTCATAAAAAAAGATGTTATAGATTTAAAGTAACTACCTAAAAGCTGCTGAAGAAAATTCACTTTACAAAGTGGTGGACAGTTGGAACAAGTTAAGTGAGGTGGTGGTGCAGGCCAAAACCATCAGTAGTTTCAAAGCAATATAATGAGTGCTGGGAAGACGGAACACCACGAGCGTCTCTCTCATTCTGTAACTACACTTGGGTAATTACAAATAAATACAAATAGTAAATACACAATGAGAGAGATACCGGTAATAGGAATGACCCTGACAATGTAAATGATATCCAAAATGCGAGAGGCACCCACAACGTAAATGATACTCAAAATGTGAGTGATAACCACAATGTGGGCAATACCCAGAATTTGAGAGAGACTCTCAATCAGCCACGTCCAACAACAGCCTGGTTGATCAGTCCAGCAACCAGGAGGCCTGGTCGACAACCGGGCCACGGGGACACTAAGCCCCGGAAGCACCTCAAGGTACTGTATTCCCAATGCAAGTGATAGGTACAATGCGAATGATACCCTCAATGTGTGAGACACCCACATTGTGAAAGATACTCACAATGTAAATGATACCCCATTATGAGAGATATCCACAATGTGAGTGATACCTGGAATGTGAATGATACCCCAGGATGTGAGAGATAACCACATTATGAGATACCCACATTGTTAGATACTTAGACGAGAAGGGGGTGGAGCCCAAAATCGTCAGTAGTTTCAAAGCGTTATGTGACAGAGTGCCGGGAAGACGGGACACCATGAGCATAGCTTTCGTCCTGTAACTACACTTAGGTAATTATGATGTGAGATGACCATAATGTGAGTGATTCCCACAATGTGGGTGACACCCACAACATGCAAGATACCCACAGGGTGAGAGATACCTACAGTGTGAGAGACCTCCTCACAATGACTTGTAATTATCAATAAATATTGTCAGTGAACAAATTTGTCCTTGTTATATAGACAGATCAAAGAGATATACATTAAAATTAATGTTATTGTCATAATATTCACTTCACTATTTTTTAGCACTTTCCTATTTTGAGGCAATTCAAGATGCAGTAATTCTTCAGAGGACGTATCCTGTATTTAGGTGAAGTAACGCTGAACACAAACCAACACAGTAACAAAAGCACTACTGTACTATATACTGGTATTATAGTATCATCAGAAGTTGGAGGGTAATAAACCAACTCGCATAATTACAACGATTAATTCAAAGTTTTCACATAGACCATTACTCTTTCTGTATCATGTTAACATACATAATGTTAATTCAGCATTCATAGAATGTTAACAATAAAAATTGTAGTAAATGTGTATATTGTGGGTGGTCAAGAAACCTTCCTGAGTGAGAGTCATCACATTGGTCACGTCTCTTTGTCTTCATCTCAATGCAAACCAATACAAACGTTACTTAAAAATGCTATTCCGTAAAGCTTTTGACAATCATATAAATGACCTAAGATCACTAAGTGTTTTATGTTGAAAAACTGGTAGACAGGTGGCAAGAAGGATGCAAAAAGCTAACGTATGAGGCAGGCAACACAAAGCCTAGCTGGCCCAATACAGTCATGATGGCAGAATGCACCACACTTCATGCATATGATCATTGCTTTCATGTTGCAAGGGCAACCCTCCTCACTAGTGTCACTCTTTCCTTGAGGTAGCATCATATTTACACCTTGGTTCATGGGTGCCATCACAGCTGCCATACCATTTATGCCTGCACCTCCACTTATTTGATGCATGTTATTCACAGGTTGCATACTATTCATTTGTTGCATATTGTTCATATGTTGCATATTGTTGATCATCATTCGCATACTTGTTCTCATATTCAAGTTGGGAGTTTGTGAAAGTGGTGGTTGAGTAAGTGACTGTTGATGGTGTGGCTGAGGCTGAGGACTCACAGTGTGGCTGCTGGCCACATTATGTGATACATCTGATGGATTCCAGCTCATTGACATTGCCCCACTTAGCCCAAAACTACCCATGCCATTCATTGTGGGCTGTATAGACGTATTTGTGGCATTGACAATGGTTGGGTGGTCAGTGTTCTGGGTAATGTTAGAGCTATCTGATGAGCTTTCACTTGGTCTAGAAGCCCCAGTCCGTGTTGTGACAAGATGGTCACTGTCACAGCTACTGACACCTGAACTGGGGTCACCTTCGGATAAAAAATGTCTTCCAGCAGAGGTGAGGATGGTGGCAGGCGAGCCCTGGGCACCATTTGTTTGCACAACAATCCTGGGTCCAACACTAGAAGGTCGTGGAGAAAGGGCAACCATAACTCCGCTTTTATTTGGCGGGGCACTTGCTGCTCTCGGAGGGTGTTGCTGCTGCTGGCCATTACCACTATTGCCACCACAGTCACTGTTAAAATTTGCTAGACTTCCAAGCCTCACCACCTGCACGCTGGACACTGGCATCCTCACAACAATGGATTTACCTGCAGTGGTGGGGCGCAGGATAGTGATTGGCCGTGGTGAGACTGCTGGAGGAGCCATTCTGCCTTCACACCCATCTGACTGTAAATATGAATGCATAAATATAAATATCAAGATCTTGCAATACAGAAATACAGTAACTTTTCATCTGGCATTGAAAGACATAATATAATGATTGTACTCACCTGAAAGCAGTTCTTATATTAGCTAACCTTTCATATGCAGCTGAAGATAATCTTTTGATAAGGGCTTTTGGAGACAGGTTCAGTATATCAACCCAAGTCTTTTTCTTTGTCAAATTCCAGTAGTACTTCCTCTCCCATGTGATTTTGTCCAGTCTGCTGATCCAGCTGATCCAGCTGACCCAGCTTCATTACTTTGCACTTGCTTGAGTTAAACTCTAGTAGCCACTTGAGGGGACCATACTTTCTTTGTGTCCATGTCCTCTTGTAGTTTCATGCAGTCTTCCATTATATTTATTCTCTTTATAATATTTGCACCAGTTACAAACATTGAGAGGAAGGAATTTATCTCCTCTGGAAGGTCGTTCACATAGATTAGGAACAGCAACTTCCCCAGTACTGACCCCTTATAGAATGCCACTGATAACATCCCACCACTTTGAGGTTTATACTCTATTACTCTGAGGGAATTACTCTATTTCTGCAGAGGGAATTGCAGAAACAGCTTCCCTCTCACACATGTTTGTTTCTTTTTTATGCACTGGTCTTCTGAGGAGTACTGTGTCAATGGGTTTGTGACGGTTCAAAAATATAAATCCATTCACCCTTCTTTACCTGGTCAGATATCAGTCACCTGTTCAAGAACTATCAAGTTTGTGGGGCTGGATTTGTCAGCCACATGCTTCCCAAACCACTTGAGACCGAGAATAAGCAGATAACCTGTTGTGTTCAAATAAGTGGTTTGTCATCCTGAAAAGCTAGGGAAAAAATTGAAAATTTTTGCAGAAATTCAACTGTTTTCGACCTCTCATACTCGCCAATATAAGAGGTTCTGATCTGCTTGTTAAACTGAAGATTGTAGTTGATAAAGCATTGTTATTTAGATAGAAAAGGTGGTGGTGGATGATAGTAAGTGTTGGGTTGATTGAAGTGGAGATTAATGGTGATGAGGTAACCTCAGCAGACTGCCTTTCACCATGTACTCTAATGTACCTAATGCCATAGCAAAGTTTAACCCTTGGACAGCAGCTATGGAAGAATGGTCATACCTGCTTATGCGCAAAAAAAAAAAAAAAAATACAAAAAATAATCTTTCATTATTGAATTATTTTGTATTAAAAATGTAAGAAAAACATGAAAATAAGTGAATATTTTTTCATTTTATTGGGTGGAGGTGCTTGGGAAGGTGGCTGTGTCTGGTGCCTATCAATGCCTTGTGCTCGAATTTGCTGACACTGACACTTCACTTCACTTGTTTCTATTTATTTACAAGTGCATGTGTGTGTTGAATAACTTTATAAATCACATAACACATGACAATGTTTCAAGTGATGGTTGGTTTACCTGGTATACTCCATTGCAAGCATATAGAGCAGTGAAAAGGATATGAATATAATATTCAATGGTGTTGGGTTCTGGGCGATGACATGTGGCCTAATTGGCACCATATGGGCGAGAGTACAGAGTGAAACAAAGGCCAAGCCACCAATGTGCACCACATATGATGGACTATGTCACCCAGAAGTGCCAGGAAGCAGCAGACAGGTTTATCCCGGTCCAAAAGGAGAAAAACGAAAAGCAACAGAAGAATCCATGGTTCAGCCAGGAATGTGAGGTAGCGAAGCTATTGAGTAAAAGAACATGGAGCAACTACAGGAATAACAGAACACCAGAGAGCAGGGAGACATACCAGAGGGCAAGAAATGAGTACAGTACCTCAGAGTGAGGAGAGAAGCACACACACAGTATAAAAATGACATCGCAAGTAAAGTCAAGAACCAACCAAAACTGCTCCACAGCAACATCAAGTGATGAAACTGAGAAAAGGGGGAGAATAGATACACATAGAATGACAAGGAGATGTGTGAAGAACTCAACAAGAGATTCCAGGAGATCTTCATAAAAGAACAAGGAGAAGCCACTGCACTAAATGAGGCGGCGGCAAACCAAACAACCTTGGAGGAATTTGGCCTCACCAGTGATGAGGTCAAAAGGAATCTTATTATAGACCCGTATCACTAACAAGTGTGGTAGTCAAAACACTAGAAAAATAGCTAAAACCAAATGGGTAGAACACCTGGAGAGTAATGACATAAGTCAGAGAGTATGGTTTTTGAACAGGATGATCCTGTGTAACAAATCTACTTAGTTTTTATGTATGTCAAATGGCTGGTACATCCTACATCATCCATACCCATCCAATGAAATTAACTCCATTGTAGCAAGAATAACACAATATTACATATATTGTGCTGCACATTTGCAGTATTTATATTGCTTTTAAATACATGGATGGAGAAATACTAAAGAAATTGTTCACGACTTTTGTTAGACCAAAGCTGGAATATGCAGCGGTTGTATGGTGCCCATATCTTAATTAAGAAGCACATCAACAAACTGGAAAAGGTGCAAAGACATGCCATTAAGTGGCTCCCAGAACTGAAGGACAAGAGCAACAAGGAGAGGTTAGAGGCATTAAATATGCAAAAACTAGAAAGATATAAGAAAAAGAGGTGATATGATCACTACATACAAAATAATAACAGGACTTGATAAAATTGATAAGGAAGAATTCCTGAGACCCAGAACTTCAAGAACAAGAGGTTATAGATTTAAACTAACGAAACAAAGCTGCCGGAGAAATATAAGAAAATTCACTTTTTGCAAACAGAGTGGTAGATGGTTGAAACAAGTTAGGTGAGAAGGTGGTGGAGGCCAAAACCGTCAGTAATTTCAAAGCATTATATGACAAAGAATGCTGGGGAGACAGGACACCATGAGCGTAGCTCTCATCCTGTAACTACACTTAGGTAATTACATTATATTATAATAATAATAATAATAATATACAGTATATTACAAATAAATTCACACAAAAATTATAATTGAATAAATGATATACAGTTCTACAAAGCTTCTTAATATGCAATTATACAAATGCTCTCTGATTGGTAGCAAGTAGAGTCTTAAAGACTTGCAGGCAACATGCAGAACGGACAAAAGTAATAAGCTCATTACAACAAAAATCCAGCGTTGAATGTAATGAAACGCCAATTTCTGGGTAAGCACCGGAGGCTTCCTGATGCTGCAATCAATATGCAGACAATGAGTCACAATAACGTGGCTGAAAAATGTTGACCAGATCACACACTAGAAAGTGAAGGGACGACGACGTTTCGGTCCATCCTGGACCATTCTCAAGTCGATTCTCACAATCGACTTGAAAATGGTCCAGGACAGACAAAACATCATCGTCCCTTCACTTTCTACTGCAATCAATGATTCAGTGCCATTACTACTAGGTACCATCAGTCGCAGAGTTCGATTGGCCTACCTGAACTATGAGCCAGAACCTGGCTGCTCTCAAGAGATGCACAGGGAGCACTTTACAATTAAAAAAAAAATGTTGCCGATTCAAGGAGTGGTCCAAACAGTTGGACATCAGGTGATGAGCTGAGGGGTATTGACAGGTGGAGCCAGCAGCTCTCAGTGGTGCTGTCACTTGCCCGCTGTAACTATGGTGGTTCATTCTAACTACTGGATGGATCACCTGCAGAGTCATTTGCTGCTCTGTTTCTTCTGTGAACTTTGCAGGTGTCTATTTTGCTTCAATTCCTTTCTTTACCTTTCCTCAGTGAGGTATTATCTTGTGATCCCCTGCTTCTTGTACCTCTGTGAGGGGGGGGGGGGGGCAGATTCTGGCTCTAGTCTCCGGTAGGCTATTAAGGACTCCTAGAGCTGATGTGACTCATATATGTGGTGGTACATCAGTGTAACTAGCATCAAGAGGCCACTTTTCAACCCTCCAGAAATAGAAACTTATGATAAACTTTCCACTCTTAAAGTAAATATGAGAATTTTCACATGCTCACTAAAAACATAAAATGCTTATTAAATATTTGTAAAGCTGAACATAAAATTAATATACAATACTGTACTGCATAGTATTTCAATCCAAATTTAAGAATCTCTTCTGTATTCAAAGTTGAGCTTGAAATATTACTACGTATAATATGATGCCTCGTCTCTAATCTGTCCTTGAGCTCACTATGCATATATAATTTTATGAAGTGGTGAGGTGCTGCTATGGATGACTGCTGGAGTGTGGTAGTCAAGGTTAGCCTTCATGCTATATTTTGTAGTCAATAATATAATGAATGACAAGTGATATTTGTAATGTTTTATTAAGGTCTTTGATCCTCTTGAACTACATTGCTCACCTTCATTTTTCTCTTGGTTGATGCTTCCCCACACACCATCAAAGAGTAAAATAGTAATGATTGTGTGATTAATCTGCTGTGCCTCTTATACTGTATAATGGAAATTGTAATGCATGTTGATCTAAATGTTTTATTCTCACATTCTTTATGAGATTTTTATATTTTGTAGACGGCTAGCAAGAAAGGTAGGTAGGCAGCCAGAAAATTATTCAGAATGACAGACAGGCAGCAGGTAGTAGATAACTAAGCATACATGCATATACAGCATACTACTATATTAAGAAGGTATTCATGATGTTAATAAAGTATAATTGTGTGGTTGTGTTTTTAACAGGATTAAGCAACATCAAGAGCTAGTTTTAAACACTGGATATCTACAGATATAGACCTAAAGAGATGACATTATTGAGATCTACACTTGCCAAGTCTCACCTGCAGGACGAGAGGTCGGGAATTGGACAAACACACTGCAGAAGTTGGAACACAAGTCAAATCGGATGTTGACTGAGAGTTGGTGGAGGTCCCAATGCCCAGAGGAGAGACTCGAGATGGGCTAATGGGAGTAGATGGAAGAGAAAGGGGTCCTAAAGGGAGAGACTGAGTCCTGGGTGGCTGTGACTCTGAGGGGATGGACAAGAGCAGTGGACCACCACTGCCTGGGTGTAGCACCATCACGCGACTGTTGCTGTTGGTCCCACTGGCTGGTTGAGACACTACCACCATGGTTGTGCCAGAATCACCACTGTGACTGCTTAGCCCGAAGCTCTCCCCACAGTTCCCCATAATGTTGCTATCACTACCAGCACTACTAATGCCACCACAACTAGCACCACTGTTATTCAATCCACTCTGCCCTGATACTATAACACTAGCCTCAGCAATGTTTGTTAAAGCATTGTTCTCTCTTATAGCACCATCACCACAGGCTAAGAAGGGTGTATTATCCAGCAGAAATGATGAGGTTCTAGAGGCTGAAGAGGCAGATACCTGGGAGGTGGCAAGATGAGGTGTCACCATCTGACGAAGAACCACTGTTCCAGCAGTAGTAGCAGCAGCAGCAGCTCCGCCTTGGGTGTGCGTCATGGTTGTTGAGGTACCACCCACAGAGAGCGCCAACTGTCGCACAGTACGGGAGCTACCAGTCAAGAGCTGAGTTCCCACTACTGGTGTGACTATATTACTATTACTACTACTGGTAGCTACAGTTTTGACAACTGTGATAGTCTGAAGCTGTGGAGCTGCTTCAACTACCAAATGACTGTTATTGTTGCTTATGTTGTTATTGTTGCTGACTACCACTGCTGTTGGTACTCCAGGGCTGCTGATGGTAGGCTTCACTTCTGCCAGTAGAGAAGCAGGAGATTTGAGTTGAGCTTGTAACTGGTCTCGATTAGGGCTGTTTGCAATGACGGCTTGAACTATCTCATACGATCTCTGAATGTTGACGCCTCCTGGAGTTCTGCTTTTTGTCACTTTCACTGTCATGGTCCCACTACCTGGCATACCCTAGGATTTAAAATTTTAACAAATTATGAATATTAAGTTATGAGATGAAGCCATCATTATACAGTATTATAATTACCAATAATAAATATTATACATGGTGGGATTCTTATTTTACACAAGAATGTGTTTCTGGAGACCTTGTTTCAAATCAAATACACTGTACCACACTACAACGTACCATGCCCCCAACAAAATCACTGACGATCTGAACAGTTAACCTAAACCTTAAATATGGTTTCCTTTAGGACACAATAACAGACCAACAATGGTGGTCCAAGACTTTGATCCTCGGAATTATCAACAGGTAAAGGACAGGTAGTGACAATGAGAGCAATTTTGTTCTGCTTATGAACTCCAATGAAACCAATGAGAACAGATGTCTTTAGTTATAATAACCCCAAATGAAGTAGATATGGAAAGAACCACTCCCATTTCATTGATTTAATGAAAGTGTAATTTAATTCAACAGTCTAAGTGTTAAGTACTGTACATCTGTCCGAAAAGGTAAAGAGAACAAATGAAATCAATATTAACCCTGAAATGTGTCTATAAAAAAATATTAATTTGCACAAAGAAATCACACTGACGCCATGAATCAATGAGAAACTCGGTAGAAGCCATGAAGAGGATTCGAACCTGTGCTCTGGGTACTCCCAAGCAAAAGCCTTAGACCACTACACTATGACATGGTAATAAGCATTATAACCTGGGATTCAACTGAATCCTCTAGCGTTCCTGAAGCTTCCACTGAAGCCAGAATTCAGGGTGTCACACAATGCCCCCCCCCATGCCAGTATCCAGAGTATAGGTTCGAATCCTCCTCACAGCTGCTTCTAATTTTCTCAAATATTATTTTCTTATGCTATTTGTAAGAACCCATGCATAAAATCATTGAAAATTGAACATTATAATATTTATTTTAAACTATTTCATATTAGAAACCTTAAAGAACTAAGGGCCTACCACCCATGCAAGGCAGCTCCTTATCCACACCGAAACTCACTCAAATGTGTGTCCAACCTACACCTGAAACAACCTAGCACTTTTATCTCTATTATGCTAGCTGGCAATTTGTTCCATTATTATGCAACATTGTTCCCAAACCAATATCTACTATGGTTTTTTCTAACTTTAAACTTATCTAATTTGTACTATTGTTTCCTGTTATACTTTAATCAAAATATTTAGCACCCAATAAATATTCCCTGTGTTACTGTACACCCTTTTTTTACTTTCATACTTGGTAATTTCAATATTGTTTCATTATGTTTTGTGAGTACAGTATATTTGACGAGTTCCTGCCACTTTTGTAGTTTGTTTCTATTCACTGATGCAGGCACTAACTTCTTGGCACTGACATCTGTAACTGGGCAAGTGACGAGGGACTAGAATTACAGACTGCAGGCAAAACAATGAACTGCACAGGTAATGGGTTACCCATTCATTATAAAAGATCTATCCAGAGAAAAATTACTAACATATGCAAGAGAATGAATTAACATGAAAATGTAATGGTATGAATCATCTGAGTAGCATGGACAGTTTCAAAGCTTAAATAATAAACAAGCATTAGCTCTTACTCTTTCACTAAACATGATATGAAGAAAAAAAGGTGAAGCTGGATGTGCTCTATCCATTTACAGTACAGTAGTTTGAAATAACATATAATTTACAGATACAGATCAATACATAAAACAAAATAAAACTAAAAGAAATATAAATACATAATTGTTATTACCTGATTTAGAGTCCTAACAGTTTTAATTTTGGAGGCCACATTCATGCTGGAGGAGGAAGGTACAGCTTGTGTGAAGGCTCGAGGCCCCGGCCCTATAGTTGTTGTACACGAAGTCACTTCCACTGGTCGAGCCTGGCCAGCCACCATCACTGTTCTGGTTACAGGGGGGCTGGGAGAAGGGGCAAGTGGTAATGAAGGCGAAACAACTTGCACCACGGGTGAAAGTCTTGACGGGGAAGGTGCCAGGCCAGGAGACACTATCATCCCTGGAGATGTCCTGGAAGCTGGAGAGGCAGGTAATTGTCCACCAGTAGACTGAGATGAAGAGTTGACAACCACCATGGCTGCAGGCTTACCACAACTTCCAGGTTTTGCCTGAGAAATGACCGGGGAATTGAGCACCTTTGCACCACTCAAAATGGGCCGCACTACTGGAGTTATTGTCACTCGCGAACGGGGGATATCACTATGAGTGCCAATGTGACTCGCTAGTCTCTGAGATGGATGTGTAATAGATCCATGTTTTGTAACATAAAAATTTGGTAAATCAGAACTTGACACACACAATTTTTTGGTAGGTATAGTTGTAGGAACTTGAAGGGCATCTTTCCTCTTCCCTCCGTCTTTCATAAATCCACTTGGATCTATGGGCATAACTGAAGATGACAGAGCACACTTGTCACTGACTTTGAAAACTGTATGGTTGCCACTGGCCACTGTGTTCAAGTTATTATTTCTATTAGGTATTAATGACAAAGAACTCTGAGTCACAGTCAAAGATGTGGGGACAATACACAATGAAGTAGGGAGCACTGAGGATGTACAAGGTTGCAATGAAGATGAACTCGGGAGCACAGATGAACACGAAAACACTGGTGGTGATGAATGTTGAAGTACTGTTGGTGAACAGGACAGTGGTGGTGGTGAACATGGGAGTATGGAAGATGAGCAAGGATGTACTGGTGAAGAACTTGGAGTAAACGATATAGAATTCTTTAATTCCAAAGAGCAATTGTCAAGTTCTATTAACTTATTTTCTCTCAGTGCTTTTCTGGCGGCCCTTCTCTCAGTTCTGCGCTGGTCACGGTTGGCAATATGCTGAACAACCTTGGTCAGCTGCTCAATATGAGCTGGTGTAAAACTGGTAGTAAACACCGGAGAAGCACGAGACAAGTCTGGAAGAGATGCTGGGTAGGTGTCCCCCGATGGTGATGATGGACTGCTAACACTACCTTCTCCACCATCTGTGCCATACCATGGCTGTTTCACACCCCACAGCGGCTCAAAATGAGCAACCTGTCCAAAAGCAAGATAATATTTATACATTTATATAAAAGTAGCAAAAACAAAATAAAAACCAGTTTGCAACAGGCATAAAGTGTGTGGCCCCAGTACTGGCCACCTCTACAGATGTGTACTCACCTAATTGTGCTTGCGGGGGTTGAGCTTTGGCTCTTTGGTCCCACCTCTCAACTGTCAATCAATTGGTGTACAGATTCCTGAGCCTACTGAGCTCTATCATATCTACATTTGAAACTGTGTATGGAGTCAGCCTCCACCACATCACTTCCTAGTGCATTCCATTTATTAACTACTCTGACACTGAAAAAATTCTTTCTAACGTCTCTGTAGCTCATCTGGGTACTAAGTTTCCACCTGTGTCCCCTTGTTTGTGTCCCTCCTGTGCTGAAGAGTTTGTCTTTGTCCACCCTGTCAATTCCCCTGAGAATTTTGTTTTCTTCTGTTTTCCAGGGATGTGAGGTTCAGCTCCTTAGCCTTTCCTCGTAGCTCATTCCTCTCAGTTCCGGGACGAGCCTGGTGGCATACCGCTGGATCTTCTCTAACTTTGTCTTGTGTTTAATTAGGTATGGACTCCAGGCTGGAGCTGCATACTCCAGGACTGGTCTTACATAAGTGGTATACAGGGTCCTGAACGATTCCTTACACAAGTTTCTAAAGGCAGTTCTTATGTTGGCCAGTCTAGCATATGCCGCTGATGATATTCTTTTGATGTGGGCCTCTGGGGACAGGTTCGGTGTGATATCAACTCCCCAGATCTTTCTCTCTATTTGACTCTTGCAAGATTTCACCTCCCAGATGATACCTTGTGTTCAGCCTCCTGCTCCCTTCGCCAAATTTCATTACCTTACACTTTCCTGAGTTGAACTTTAGCAGCCATTTTCTAGACCATTCCTCCAGTTTGTCCAGGTCATCCTGTAGTCTCTGTCTATCTTCATCCGTCTTGATTCTTCTCATAATTTTTGCATCATCAGCAAACATTGAGAGGAACGAGTCTATACCCTCCGGAAGATCGTTTACATATATTAGAAACAGGATGGGTCCAAGTACTGAGCCCTGTGGGACTCTGCTGGTGACATCTCGCCACTCTGATGTCTCCCCCCCTCACCGTTACTCGCTGTTTCCTGTTGCTTAAGTACTCCCTTATCCACTGGAGCACCTTACCTTTTACTCCTGCCTGATGCTCCAACTTTTTTAACAGCCTTTTATGGGGTACTGTGCCAAAGGCTTTTTGGCAGTCCAGGAAAATGCAGTCGGCCCACCCTTCTCTTTCCTGCCTAATTTTTGTTGCCTGGTCATAGAATTCTATTAAACCTGTGAGGCACGATTTACCATCCCTGAACCCACGTGGGTGGTGTGTTACAGTTATTTCCCTCCAAATGTTCTACGAGCCTTTTCGTCACAATCTTCTCCATCACTTTGCATGGAATACAAGTTAGGGAAACTGGCCTGTAGTTCAGTGCCTCTTGCCTGTCACCCTTCTTGTATATTAGGACTCCGTTAGCTGTCTTCCAACTTTCTGGTAAGTTTCCTGTTTCCAGTGACCTGTTATACGCCATAGAGAGTGGCACACTTAGTGCTTCTGCACCTTCCTTTAGTATCCATGGTGAGATTCTGTCAGGCCCATCAGCCTTTGTCACATCCAGCTCCAGCAGACACCTTTTGACCTCATCATTGGTGAGGTCAAATTCCTCCAAGGTTGCTTGGTTTGCCGCCTCCTCATTTAGTGCAGGGGCTTCTACTTGTTCTATTGTGTGTTCTATTGTGTGTGTGTGTGGTCTCCAATACTGACCATCTCTATAGGTGTGTGGTCCTAGTACAGGCCACCTCTACAGGTGTGTGTGGCTCCAGTGCTAGCCACCTCTACAGGTGTGTGGCCTCCAGCACTAGCTACCTCTACAGGTGTGTGGTCCCAGTACAGGCCACCTCTACTGATGTGTAGCCCCAGTACTGGCCACTTCTACAAGAATATGATCTCAGTACTGACAACCTATACAGGTGTATGGCTCCAGTACTGACCACCTCAACAGATAATTACCTAAGGGTAGTTACAGGATGAGAGTTATGTTCGTGGTGTCCCGTCTTCCCAGTACTCTTTGTCATAAAACGCTTTGAAACCACTGTTTTGGCTTCCACCACCTTCTCACTGAACTTGCTCCAACTGTCTACCACTCTGTTTGCAAAAGAAAAATACTGTAATATTTTTTGGGCACCTTTGTTTTCTTAGTTTGAATCTATTACCTGTTGTTTTTGAAGTTGTAGTTTTATAGAATTTGGCTTTATCAATTTTGTCGATTCCTGTTGCTATTTTGTGTGTAGTGATTATATCACCTCATTTTCTTCTATTTTCTAGCTTTGGTATATTTAATACCTCTAGCCTCTCCTCACAGCTTTCATTTTTCAGTTCAGGAAGCCAATTGGTTGCATGTTTTTTGTACGTTTTCCAGTTTACTGCTTCTTGAGATACGGTCATTATACAACTGCTGCATATTCCAACTTTTAATTCTCACAAAGGTCATGAACAACTTTAATATTTCACCATCCATGGATTTAAAAGCGATTCTGAACCTGGAAAACGTGGCATATGTTCCTCACACAATGTTCTTTGTGTCATTGCCTTGTTTCTACCTAGATCCTTGAGCATTTTCCCACTTGATCTCCCCTGCCCCGTAACCTACAACCATAGGCTTGGAGGGTTACCGGCACCTCATGGGAGCCTGACATTGCCGCGGCGCCCTGATGGTGAGGACAACGAAACCGATGCCAGCTGCCTAAGAACTGCCTGGTGCACCCACATAGTGGGACAGTTGCCCTGCAATTGGGTGCTAAGCAGGAAATCCCCGCCCCGAGGAGACCCAGCTCAGTGACCTAGGCCCATGGCGGAGAGCAAGACACCTCTATGTACTTAAAAGTTATTTTCTGAAATCTGTATTGTGTATGGTTCACTGAAGAATTTATTCTGCATAAACACACTTTGGAACTGTTCATTTAGTTTTTCACACATTTCCTTTCATTTTCCATGAATCTATTCCCCATTTTCAACCTCTGCATTCCTTTACATGCCATTTGCTTTTAATGAATTTATAAAATAGGCCTGGTTCAGTTTTATATTTATCCACAATCCCTTTCTCAGGGTTTCTTTCTGCCTCTATTCTAAATGTTGTGCAGTTGTTTCTTGAATGGAATGTTTGTATTGCTGGTATGTTTGAGGGTTTGACCTCTTCCTATATTGATTCCATATTTTTGTCTTTTGTTCTCAGGCCATCTCACAACTTATGTTGAACCCATCCTGCTTCCTAGTTCTGCATCTCTGTACTGGTATAAGTTTTGTTGTACCTTCATACTATATATCAAAACATTTGGCATACCATCTCATTTACTTACTTTCCTAACAACAAATATTTCCAATCAAATTCATTAAAGAACTTGACAAGTTCATTTGTGTCTAATCTATTCTAAATTATATAATACTGTACACTGCACATTTGATTTCCAAAAGAACACTGTTGCTCTTGCTCAATGGATCAAGGTACTAAACGTCAACTATCTTTTCTTCTTTCTTGGGAAATACCAAAGCAATCAATGATGCAGCATCTCTTTTCATTTTTGTTACACGTTAATATGTGAAAGACTCTAGGACAAGGTTTATGAATTGGCCAATCCAAACATCTGTTCTTGCTTTGGGGCTTCCCAACTTGTCGATTTGAAATTAGTCACCAAGTATCAACAAACGTAATTTATCTCTATCTGATTTTACGATAATCTCTTTAATGATCATTATAAGGCTTTTATCAACTAGCTCCTTAGTCTATGTGTCGCTTGCTGGTGGACTGTAGACAATAATCATTATCAGTTTATCATTGATTGCAGATCTCCAGCCGCCATTATGTCAGCTTCTCGAGGGTTATTGAGTATTAATTCTCTTGCCTTTAATCATTTCTTCATCACGATACCAACTTCTCTACCATTTCTAATTTTTCTGTCACACTTCCAAATACCTTAGGAAAGCCACCTCATTTAGAAGTTCATCTTCTAGTTTTGTCTCTACTAGTTTCTGGCAGCTGGCATCTTAAGCTGTATTGTATAATTTAACTCTAGTATTTTCTGGGAGGAGCCTCTTATGACTTCCTGAAAATACTATCTCTGATAATGATATAATGGGGCCTGGCAGCTGAGTGGACAGTGCTCGGGGTTCGTAGTCCTAAGGGTCCGAGTTCGATCCCCTGCGGAGGCGGCAACAAATGAGCAGTTTCTTTCACCCTGATACCCTGTTCACCTAAAAGTAAATAGGTACCTTGGAGTTAGACAGCTGCTATGGGCTGCTTCCTAGGGTGTGTGTGTGTGTGTGTGTGAAAATTAGGATTAAGGACTTGCCCGAAATGCTATGCATGCTAGTGGCTGTACAAGAATGAAAGAACTCTTGTATACATAAATAAATAAATAAATAATGCCAGGTGCCATCAGTTGCAGAGTTCTACTGAAGTTGTGGGGACCACAAGCCAGAACTTAGCCCCTCTAAAGAGGTGCAGGGAGCAGTGGGACTAATGGTAAAATTACTATGAATTTATCCATGTCTCAACTGCAGAGAACACCCAACTGAGAAGCACCCAGAGTCAGAGTCAGAGTCCGAGTATGGGAAAGACGGGACACCACATGCGTAGCTCTCATCCTGTAACTACACTTAGGTAATTACTTGCCAGGAAACCTTGAGTTAAACTTACCTACTTGCAAGTTGCTACAATAATTTTAACAACAATAAGATCCACTTCAACAATAAGAATAATATTAAACAAATTAAAGTAAGGTATAGAATTTAAAGAAATTTTGTAATAACTATTAATTTTTTAAGGATTATTAACCCTAATACAAAACATAACTCAATTAAATGTGTATATTGGATTTTAAGGCTCACTAATCACAAACAATGTAACATAAGTTACTTTAACCCCACATATAAGAGGTCCGAGTTAAATCTGGTACTGAGCTGAGAGCTATGGTACTGAGAATAGACTCTTATCAACTGCTTCCAATACTTGTTTTCCTTACCACTCTCATGCATTGTTCTTATGAAATACATTTTCTCACACATAAACCTGCTTATAAACAAGAGAAAAACATATGGTAAAGCTTCAAAATTCTTGAAACATACATTAACAATAACCAGTGCAGTAATGCTTTATCATACAAACAAATATTTAACAGTACAGTACAGGTGCTATATTATAGATGGGTTTACTGTACCTTCCAGGGGTCCAACTTCGTGCGTTCCTTCTCAGCCTCAACCTTTAATTTGACCTGATTGTCATGCGTGAACTCTCCTTCTCCAAGACGACACCGCCAAGATTCACAAGCACGCCCAAAAAATTCATTATTAAGGCCCGTGGGAACAATTCTGTTGAAATAAAGACCTTTTATAAGAATAAATGTAAGTTAACCAATAAGTATAATAATGAGATTTTTTACTTGTACACTGTAGGTTACAATTAAGGCAAAACTAATGACTCAACAGTACATAACTTTGGTAAAGGTAAAATATTACTAGTGAGAATTGAAAATACAACTGCAGTGATTTCCTGAAAGAGAGTAGATAAAAGATGGTGAGGAAAACATTTCGTGAATGGACACAACAAGTAAATATGAAGTCAAAATGATAATTACAAATGGAGTGACAGACAACAATAGGAGAAACAAGGAAAAGATGCATGAGGCAAGGTAGTGATGAATAATGCAAGCAAAAGACCAGCATTGAATGTAATGAAATGCCATTTTCTGGGTGAGCCCTGAAGGCTCCATGTAACTATCAGACTGATATACGAAATATTAGTCTGGGGTATTAATCAATTGAAGTTCAGCCTACCTGGGACCACGAGCCAGAACCTGGCTCCCCCCAGAGAGGCATGAGGAGCAGTGGCTTATGGAAACCCCCATGTGGTTGGGAGCATTCTTTGTCTTCCATCAACTGGGGTTAGGCACATAGAAAGGTAGGCATAACAAAACAGACCTCACTTTATAAGAAATTGCAACCAAAGATCAAACAGAGGCAGAACTCCCCCAAATTCTAATGTTTCCATAAGCCATTGATCCCTGTGTCTGTTTGAGGGGGCCAGGTTCTGGCTCGTGGTCCCCAGTAGGCTGAACTCCAATTAACTGATGCCCCAGAATAATATATCATACATCAGTCTGATAGCTCCCGGGAGCTGAAGGGGCTCCCCACAGAAAATGAAGTCAAACAAAAACATTAAATAAAGAGTGATCATGACCAAACCAACAAAGCAACCAACATTAAAACTTTAGTACAGGCATACCTCAGAATAAGAGTTTAATCCGTTCCTGGAGACGCCTCGCCTTCCGAAAACTCGCATTCCGAAGTTAATTTCCCCATAAGAAATAAAGGGAAATGAATTAATCCGTTCCTGACTACCCCAAAAACCCCACATCAAACTAAATTTTTATACCTAATTTACCTAATTCATCTAAATAAACCTACAAAACTGTGTTCCAGTTATTACTTACCTTGCTGTCGAGTGCTGTAGGCGTATGGAAGATGGTGAGGAGGGGGTAGGAGGAGAGGAGTTACTGTTTGGAAGGGGAGTCCCCTTCCATAATCACATCACATAACCCCATGCCTTGTAACACTATGGATACCACTTCTCTTTCTAAATTTTTCAAACCAGCCCCTGCTTGCCTTAAACTCTTTCTTATCTGCATCACTCGTTGCAGGGGTATTCTTTAGAAGGTCTTCGTGCAACACCCTGGCTTTCTCACAAATAATGGCCTCCGAAACACTATCACCCCTCAACTCCTTGTCGTGTATCCAAATTAATAACAACTTTTCCACTTCTTCAAGTATTTGTGGTCTTTGTGCCGTTAATGTTCTTACTCCTTTTGCCACTTTAGCACCCATAATCTTATTTTTCTTCTTATGTATAGTGCATATTGTTGATGTGGCTTTGTTGTACTGCCTACAAAGTTCAACAACACGTGTACCGTTCTCATGCTTCCGAATGATCTCTTGTTTCTCCTCTATTGTCATCCTCACATGAGCTTTCTGGCCTTTATCCTTACCACTGGCTTTCTTGGGACCCATGGTGAGATATATAATAACAAATTGTATAGACAAATCACCAAAAATCCAACAAAACACTGAAAATCCGCAAGAAGAATTGATGTGGGGGTAGTCACTGAGAGCGAGACAATAATAAACTGAGGGGCGGCGGGGCGGAGGGGTGACGAACGCGCTAGGTCGGCTGTACGCGTATCAACAAACTCGCGTCCAAACTCGCCTCCCGAAGTAACCATCGCCTTCCGAGACAAATTTTTGGAGTAAATACACCTCGCCTTCCGAAAACCTCGCATACAGGGACAATCGCATTCCGAGGTACCACTGTAGTAGAGTTTTAATTGCAACTGAGCTAGAGTCGGGGAACGGTGCCACGTAAAGAGGAAGACACTGAGACCACACTGACACGAAGAGGTCAACGACCGGGAGCCCGAACGTCTGGCAAAGTCAAAGGAAGGAACTGGCATTGACGGTCCAGTCTGTGGATAGAGGAAGACACTGAAACAGAGTGTCGGACAGGACGTAGAACACACCCTGAACATGAACAGTGCGGAGATGCAAACTACAAAAGCTCAGCAGATGAGCTACTTAAAAGAACCAGCCCCAAAGAGCCACAGACTGAAGAGATTCTCCCTGCAGTTGAGACAATGAACCATGGGAAAACAGCCCAAATGGAGCCGAACCATGCAAGCCTAGAGGATTCTGAACTCTCCGTAGTGCCTACCACAAAGCCTCAAACTCCCACACCATATTGTGCGCCCAACGAAGGGGAGGATGCCAACGACCTTTGCCGGACAAAGGCATAGACCAAATTGACAAAAAGAAATTCCTGAAACAAGCAACTTCATGAACAAGAGGAAACAGATTCAAGTTAAGGAAACAAAGGTGCCAAAAATATTAGAAAATTTTATTTTGCAAACAGAGTGGTAGAGGTTGGAACAAACTAAGTGAGAAGATGGTGGAGGCCAAAATCGTCAATGGTTTCAAAGCGTTATACGACAAAGAGTACTGGGAAGATGGGATACCGCGAGTGTAGCTCTCATCCTTTAACTACACTTAGGTAATTGGGAAAAAGTGATATTTAACTAATTAACTCTCTTTAAACTTTACCTGGAGAGTAGGTAGCTGTGATTCAAGTTTAGTCAACACTTCATGATGACCTCAACACATGGTGTGTGGATGATTCGCTTGTAAAGTACAACCTCATTTCAATGAACTACAGTACAGAAACCAACCCCAATTTGTTTCAGTAAGGAACTTATTACAACTAGAGATGCCTCCAGGAAGCTTTTTCATCAATTTTTTGTTTACACAATAAAATGCCCCAACTTTTTCTAGTAATGATGCATCCATCTATGAAAATCATTAAAAACATAAGTGAAGCCATATTAAGAGAGTTAACATTTATACTCTAATATTTCCCTCTTGGCCTGATTTCACCAAGCAAAATTTTAATTTCAACATATGAAGGACAAGTACCAAGAGAACCTGTCTGTAGCGAGGCTTTACCCTCATCTAGCATATTTCCTACACCCTAGCTTTGAAACCTCATTTTCAAAGAAAAGAGGTGTCATATTTAATCCTTAGAAAGAAGCTATGAAGAAAGAGGCATGTTTTTTTATACATGCTGTGTATAAAAAAAAATTACATGATTATTACTTTGTATGCATAATGTAAGAAAAACATAAAAATAAGTGAATATTTATCAAAACCCTGGGTGGAGGCGCTCTGCAAGTGTGCGACTGGCACTTGTCAACGTCTGGTGCTCGACTTTACTGACTTTCCTGTTTTATCCTCAGATGTTTCACTGATTGTTTTATCCCTTGTTTATTTACATCCACAGAAAGCTGTTATATCTATATTTGCATCATACATGTAAAACCCAGACAATAATTGTTTAAATCTTCATATAATAACTGCAGTACCCCTAGGGATCGTCAATAGATGATAATCACAGCCTAAGGGTTAAGAACAAAAGCTGAGGAATCTTAAAAAATTAAAACAAACCATATAAATTGGTTTTAATTATGCTTAATGGCTTTCCCAAGGCCTCAACTCTTTCCAGCCATATTGCATCCATTTACCAAAATCATTAAAAACGTAACTGGAGCCTATTAAAGCGTTACCATTCATACCTTCATATTTCCTATATTCTATGGACTGATTTTACGAAGGGAATTTTTTATTTTAACCTATAAGATGGGCAACTTTTCCACCAGCCTGTGAACTCTGTCCCAACAGTCCACGCAAATCTGCACATTTCCTGCTTCAGTGAGCTCTTGCTCATCGAATTGGGTGAGAAAATCTGGCCTGGAAAGTGTGCATTCCAACCAGAGATTTGCCAAATCGAGGTTTCACTGTAATTACAATTCGTTATTATCAATAGACAAAAAATCAATAGATCCCATGATTTAATCAATATATTGGGTTAGAAAATTGTGTTTAGATAGCACTGCCATCCCTGCCCATGCAGGGAGAGGGAGGAATCATAGACTTACTTGAGTGTATCCTCTGGACCAACACATTGGTCCACCATTGGTAGCAGCTGTATCAATCTGTGTTGATATGCAGGTGGAAGCGAGGCAAAAGTATGTTTATTGAGGATTGCTCGTAGGTTGACGCCAACAAGAATGGAATCTGGAGTTTCTAGATCAACATTGCCTTCCTTTGTTTGTGCCAACTGGGCTGATGCTGACAGCTTGCGCTGAGACCTGTGGGGAAATAAAACCTTTATTCTAGATACTGTACCTTCAATAATAAGAGAACAGTAAACATTCAATTTTGCGAGACAATGCATTCCATAACCCTTAAAAATATTTTATATTCTTAAATCAATCAGTATTTTAAAGTCTATCGATTAAAAATTTAAGTCACCAAGTATCAAAAATTGTGATTTATCTTTATTGGCTCTACAATAATTTCTCTTATGATCATTATAAGCCCCTCTCTTTTGTCATCTAGCTCCTTCTTAGTCCATGTGCATTCGTGCATGTGCATGCCAACCTTATGGCACTTAATTCCTTCCCTGAACAGATCCTGCCAACTCCCATAAGATACATAAATTTCAGAATTATTCCCAATAAAAGTAGAGAGGGAAAGGGTCATAAAACATAGAATAGTAAACTCCCAAAATATACCTTTTGCGAGGTTTAAAGCCTGGGATGGCAGCAAGATAAGTCTGCATAGTAGTCATTGAGGGAGAAGAGGCATCACGTGCAGAAGGGGATGACTGCGAGACTGGAACACGCACCACTCTGGAAGCTAGAAGAATGAGAATTGAACACATTGAGTAACTGTTATTTTGTAATAAAGACCATTAAAGTTTATACACCTTTTCAAGTTGGCATTTACATATGAGGTTATAAAGTAAGTTGCAAAAGACTGAGCTGAATGTGATTAACTAAAGCTAAAAGTTTAATGAAGAACATCCAGAAAATACCCAAGACCTCAAAGGCCACAAAACTTTAGATGGTGACTTACCCTGAGTGCCTGAGCAGTGTGTGTTGGAATAAGCACCAGACTGAGAAATGGTCATCAGCACAGATGAATTTGAGTTGTGTTGGTGAGCTCCACTAGTAGCTGCGTTGTTGGCTATTCGAGAACTCACTCTTGTTCCAAGCACAGGGTGCAGATTGCTTGATGAACAAGCCTTACTATTCAATCTTGTGCTAGAAAACTGGCTAGGAGAATGGGACATTCTGCTGCCTGTTCTGCACATAGGAGGTGATGGAGTGCTTGCTAAGATAGTGGTTGGAGATTTAACAGAAATGTGTGATAATGTTGGAGAGACAGGGGCAGCATGAGTAGTAATAGTCGTAGTGATGGCAATGGTCGTTGCAGTGGTTGTGATGGCATCAGCAACAGTGGTGGTGGTTGTTGTGGTGGTGGTGGGGGTTGTGGTGGCAGCTGTTGGTGATGAAGCAATAAAAGGCTGCACAGACTGAGAAGTAGGATTAGGAGATGTAGCTGCAACTGTCTTCATGGTAACGCGAGTTATTGGTGGAGAATTGCCAGCAGCAATCGAAGTGTTACGTCGCCGCCTACGAGCTTGTTGCCGCAATGCATGTTTGCCAGCTGCCCCAGGATAAGACACTCGTCGTACAACAGCACCATTTACCTGTAGCAGATTAATAAAATTTATCATGAAGAAATATATTCATTAACTATTTTGTTTTCATTATAGGCAATCAACTGAGGTATACTGTACTTAGTTTGGCATATATTGGGATATAAACACTGCAGTGTAAAGCATATACAAGGGTACAGTGAATTCAGGATTCTGTAATGAAAAAAGGCACAACAAACTTCTTTGTGTGTAATGAGCATAAAATGTTGTGAGGGTAGTGGGAGGAAAGTGTTGTTGCTGTGGTAGTGTATTATATTTTCTTTCTTTCTGTTCCACTCTGTTTGCAAAATTCTTTCTTTCTGTTCCACTCTTCGCAAACAGTGGTAGACGGTTGGAACTAGTTAGGCAAGGTGGTGGCGGAGGCCAAAACCATTAGTAGTTTCAAAGTGCTATAAGACAAAGAGTGCTGGGAAGACGGGACACCACGAGTGTAGCTCTCATCCTGTAACTATACTTGGGCAATTACTGGTTGTGTGGTACTGTAGTGTGTTGTGTGTGGCTCCCTTTTGCCTTTTTAGGGGGATCAGACTGTAGTCAGTCCCAGGTAGGTGTTAATGTATTTTCAAAGGCATGGTGTAGTCTCCAAGGCTTGGTTATTGTTAGGTTGTAGCACTGTGCAGCTACTGCCCTCCCACAAAGCTGCTCAAAGCCACCAAGTAGTACTGTAAAATTTCATATCTAACACAAATAAGTGTAATAAGAAATAACCAGCAGTTTTATACATACAGCAACATAACAAACCATTATTTAATTTAATTGAATATATTCTTATATTGCACAATATTATATAAATTAAGTGCAAACATGTCTAAATAACAAGGATCTCAAGATTATTGTTACCTTGTGGGCAAGTCCAGGAGAGAGATCAGGTGGCTCTGGGGGCACAACAGCAGCAGCATCGTCTACATGTGGTGCCAGCTCCAACAAATGGCCAATGGCATTGCTCAATGATGAACGTTCCTCATCCACACTCTCCAACACCTGACACACTTCCTCCATGCCACTTCCTCCAGTTGCCTCTGCAGGTACATCTTCCATCTGTTCTGCCTCTCTGTCCTTGACTGGGAGAAAATGAACATTAATTAATCTTTTTATATCATATGTAATTACATAAATGTCATTACTGAATGACAACAGCCCTCAGGCCTGCATTGCTATCAGTCAGGCTTATAACAGGAAATTATAAAACTGACAAAAGAATTTTTTAAAACTGCAACTTCATGAACAAGAAGATATAGGTTCAAACTATGGACACACAGCTGCTGAAAAAAACATTAGAAAGTTCACTTTTGCAGAGTGGTAGACAGTTGGAACAATTTAAGTGTGATAAGAGGTGGATGCCAAATCCATCAGTAGTTTCAGTGTCATATGACAAAGAATATCAGGATTTTGGGACACTATGAGCGTAGCTCTCATCTTGTAACTACACTTAGGCATAGTTACAAGCAACAAGCACTTACAACCACCCACACACCCACCCACCCACCCACACACACACACACACACACACACACAGGGGGAAATCCACACAAGGAAGGCATGATTAAGCAATGTTCAGGCTAAAAAAAATGCTTAAGAAAGAACCATACTACCATTGATTGCTAAGGGAACCAAGAATAATATTAGCCATAGTATTACAAGCAATACCTAGATGCAAAGAGGAAAAAGAAAAGAGCCTGGATGAAATATAGAGAGCATAGAATGGAAAAGAATCAGAATATATTCAATACAAAACATGGAGAAATGCGCAGCCTACACAGAAATATGGAGTGTGGTGGAGAAGCCTAGGATAGTGGAAAAATTCAGAGCCAAGAATGAGCCAGAACAATGAATAACAAAAATCAAATGCTGACTGTAGTAATGTAATGCCCTTTTCTAGTGACTCCATAGCTCCCCATACCTGCCTTATTCCCTTCTTTTCATTGGTGATGGAGAAGGATTTCTGCTTGAGGGGGGGTCGGCTGGCAAGAGCACTTGGTGACTTATGCTGTCTCCTAGTGGTAGTCGGGCACATCCTGGCTAGGGTGTTTACCTCATAACAGTGATTGTTAGGCTTGTTTTCATCAGGGTTAATGACTTCAAGCAATTGCGTGTTTCGATGTGGTAATACTGTACTTTCTTTCTTGAGAAAGCCAAGTCTGGTCCTGGCTTTAAGTAGGTTCAGGTGGATCTCAAATGCCTGATGCAATTCCTTAAGACTTGGCAGCCAATATTATAATTTGGATAGATACTGATTGGCCCATCAAGAGGCTTCAATGACCATAGAGAAGAAAGGGATAGAAAGCTGGGGGTGTCAGCCAATAGCCTGGAGTTCTGGATAATAAATGTTTAATGTTACGCACCTGTGCTTGTATATTACAAACCATTATTAATTAGGCAATAAACCATTCTGAATCTCTAACATACCTCTACTTGTAGGGATATGAGGTATTCAGCCTCTGGGAAGCATGTGAAAACCAGACAATCAAACCCCAGGTGACACCCCAGGGCAGGAGTCCAGTCGATAGGGAGGAGTAATCGGCTCGAGTTCACCGAATCCCTTACCCATTCGACAGGAAGGGCGAAGACTGCCACGCACTAAACAAAAGGAAAACAAAAACAAATCACTTCTACATCTCTGAATTTAAAGTGCCAGGAAGTAGATTTAGCACACAGGCACTCTCTTGAGACTGCTTGTGCAAACCAAATACTATACATATACAGTAGTGAAATATAAACAATAAAAACATGGTTTACACAAAACATGGTAAAAATAATATAATTTTTATACAAATATATTAATACAAATTTATAGATCCAGGGTACACACTCTATGATCTGAGTAACGCACCCGGAATGCAGGGAACTTGCCCAACGAGTCGAAGTATTTTCCAGGCTTCTAGGGCATTCTACTTGAGTACAGTATACAGTATATGAGTCATTGAGATATCTCTGATAGTCGTTATTCTTCCTAATCAGCACCAGAGAAGTTATCCCTGAAACAAAGCCCAAGTGAATTGAAAGTTTAGAGGCATATCATACTGTTTTGTGAACAGTGATGCATAGGACCTCCTGCATAGAGATGTAATCTCAAAGAGAGCCACACTTACTAAACTTAAAATTTGTTGTTTGTGCAGTACCAATGTGTACAGTGTTGGAATCAGTGTTCAAATTGAGGATGTCACCCTACCCCGACTCTAGTCAGTAGGGCAGCCACTTCTAAATATTACCTTTTTACCAATTTATTTTTTATAAATTTTGATCATGATTTGCATACTTTAATAAATTCTGATCAAGTTGCATACTAAAATTTACTACTGCACTCATGGATGCTGAAAGTTATATTTATACTGCAATTTATGATCAAATTCATAACTTTAGCTTTCAGTCTTGGTATGGAACAATGTTTCATATACAACTCTACCTTGTCGTGTGTACTGCCTTCCCTCATTCTGTAGCTCCCTCATGCCTAGTGTACTGCTCTCCCTCATTCTGTAGCTCCCTCATGCCTAGTGTACTGCTCTCCCTCATGTTGTAGCTCCCCTCATGTCTAGTGTACTGCTCTCCCTCATGTTGTAGCTCCCCTCATGTCTAGTGTACTGCTCTCCCTCATGTTGTAGCTCCCCTCATGTCTAGTGTACTGCTCTCCCTCATGTTGTAGCTCCCCTCATGTCTAGTGTACTGCTCTCCCTCATGTTGTAGCTCCCTCATGCCTAGTGTACTGCTCTCCCTCATTCTGTAGCTCCCTCATGCCTAGTGTACTGCTCTCCCTCATGTTGTAGCTCCCCTCATGTCTAGTGTACTGCTCTCCCTCATGTTGTAGCTCCCCTCATGTCTAGTGTACTGCTCTCCTCCATGTTGTAGCTCCCCTCATATCTAGTGTACTGCTCTCCCTCATGTCTAGTCCACTGCAGACGAGAAGTCACAATAACGTGGCTGAAATATGTTGACCAAACCACACACTAGAAAGTGAAGGGACGATGACGTTTTAGTCCATCCTGGATCACTCTCAAGTCAATGGTGATAAGGGAAGGAGTTAAAGGCACTAAATAGACAAGAGAGGTGAGAAGAAAATCTTAGAAGAATAAGAGCAAGGCAAAAGGTACGAAAGGTAAGGTGAAATAAAGGGTATAGTAATAGGAATAAGAACATAAGAACACAAGAACAAAGGTAACTGCAGAAGGTTTATTGGCCCATACGAGGCACTTAATATTTATAAACACTTAATAGGAAGGGGAAAGTAATAGGAATAAGGAGATAGTAATAGGAATAAGTAAGGTATCGTAAGAGAAAACAATGGAAAGAAAAAGAAAAGGAAAGAGAAGGAAAGATAAATGGAAGGGTAGACTTATGTTAGGTCACGTTTGTTAGAAAGTTTGGAGCATTTGAGTATATACTGTGAAAGGGAAGAGTCAACAGCAACAAAGCCAGGACTCAAGTTCATGTTGGGTATGTTGTGTATTAGAGAAGATTCTACAAGACGGTGTCTGTGTAGAGTAGAGGCAGGAAAGATTATTTTGTGCACTGCTCTCCATTATGTTGTAGCTCCCTCATGTCTAGTACACTGCTCTCCCACATGTCTAGTACACTGCTCTCCCTCATGTCTAGTGTACTGCTCTCCCTCATGTCTAGTACACTGCTCTCCCTCATGTCTAGTACACTGCTCTCCCTCTTGTCTAGTACACTGCTCTCCCTCATGTCTAGTACACTGCTCTCCCTCATGTCTAGTACACTGCTCTCCCTCATATTGTAGCCCCCCTCATGTCTGGTGTACTGCTCTCCCTCATGTTGTAGCTCCCCTTATGCTGCAGTAAGCACAGGGAGAAGAGCAATCTAACATACAATTGTCTGAGGCACCACACAAGGGGGCAAAATAACATCTCGCCACTACATTTCGAGATTCCGTGCCCAAATTTCCAGCACTCATTGCAGAGGCCTGGAGAGGGGTGCTCTTGAATGGAGCACCTGACACTATCCAGAACTACTATCAAGATAGCCGGGAGGGCCCAACTATCAAAGGTGACCTTAACCGCTTTAGTGAGATGACGACGACAACTGCCAGAGTGAAAGTGTCAACCAGGAGGATAGGAAAATCTTGGGACTCATGGATATATTTAATATTCTTATTGCAGTCATTAAATTCCTCGTTTCTTATCACAACATGGGGCAGGAGAACTGTGCCCCATGCTGACATTTAATTGGCCACTTTTGGAGACCCAAACAGGGGTCTCACCAATGCTAGACAGGAAAGTTAAGGTGGTGACCACCTCCTTAGAAGGGCCCTCAAGTATGTGGAAGCTAATTTGGGCGTGATTAAAAGTAACATGTGCATTACAAGAGTCTACAAGATGTCTGTGTATTTGCAAATTGTCAGAATAGGTACAGTTATGGCAGATATCAAAATACAGTATTTTGGCAGTACAGTACAGCAGGGCCAAACAGATCATGGTACTTAGTACCAGCTGCGAGAAATGTGCAGTTGATTGCTAGGACATTACCATGGACCTCCTGGAAGAAGAGGCAAAAACCCAGCATTGAGTGTAATGAAACATTTTTCTAGTAGTGCTCCAGTGGCTCTCTGTAGCTATCTCCCTAAGATTACTCCATACTACATGTCACATCTGTCACAGGAGTTCTATTTGGCCTACCAGGGACCAGGACTAGAGCAAACGACATTCCGCTATTTGCCCAGAAAGGCATCCAGAAAGTCAGTGAAGCTTTACACACAACTTCTGGGTTTACAAGACTCAAAGCAAGAAACTTTTTATTTTTTATTTATATATACAAGAGTTCTTACATTCTTGTACAGCCACTAGCATGTGTAGCATTTCGGGCAAGTACTTAATCCTATGTTCCCCGGAATACGACCCGCCAAATCGTTTAACAACCAGGTACCCATTTTACTGTTGGGTAAACAAAGTCTACAGTTAAGGATTGACGCCCAGTCAATCCTCCCTGGCCAAGATACGAACCCTGGACAAAGCGCTTGTGAAATGCCGGGCGAGTGTCTTAACCACTACACATCAGGAACTGCCAAATGACTCTCCAAATGATTCAATCAAAACAAAATAATTCACTCGAAACTAGCTAGAACTCGTTGGTACTGAATCCCATCACTAGGTGGCCCAGAATTCGGTCTTCTGTCAGCTCGCATCTCAGTTCTGGAGCAGATAAAACACCCCAATGAACTAATGAACATGTAAGGGAGACTGGGAGCCAAGAGAGCTCTACTAGCATTTCAGTAAATGCTGGGTTTCTGGGGAAGTCCCATGGTGACTCCTCCTAGCTAAATAACCATGGAGAAAATGAAGGGACTTACCCGAGAAAAGAGGCAGCAGGTACTAACTCTTAGTAGAGACCAATGCCTGGGAAACATAACCCAGGGCCAACAGAGGACTAACGAGGAAAGGGGACATTGAATAAATACCAGATTGCCATGACCCCTGGTACACCTCCAACCCCTCCCCCGAGCTCAAATATCCAACTAGGACATATTGGAAAAAATCCCCGCGGGTGCAGCATACTTGCGAACATCATGGGCCTCAGGGTAGACAACACTAGCTGGCTAGAATTTATGACACTCAGGACAATGTGAAAAATGAGCTATGGAATAGGGAAACCAAGGAGAGAATACCCCATAAAGCATCCACTGTGGTGGAGTCAGCAGCATGCAGGTAGCAACAAACCACCACCACTCGACACAACAAATGATGCACACTTGACCATAACAACCAAGCATTAGTAACCAAAGAACCCTTCCTGAAGCCTGCTGACTTGTTCACCAGACAAAATGGAGACGGATACAAATGAAGGTGCCTACCAAAGACAAAAGAGCAGAACCCCCGCCACTGGAGAAGAGTATGAAGCTAACGAACCCAACAACTGTATCAAGAACCAGCAAAATCACTGCTTAAAACAGGTATCCTAGACCGAAGCTGCAGACATCAACCTAAAGGAAAAGAGAAAATCAAGGGCTCTATCCAGAAACTACGACAGCTCAGGAATAACATGAGCATGCCTGAGATGAAAAAATGCCTGAGACAATTTGCAGAATAAAGCCGTAGCAGAACTGACATTAAATGCCAGCAACAGCAACAGGTTCAACCTTCCAACAGGTTCCTGGTGAACTGTTGGAAGTCTCAGTTTGTTCCATCTCAGATTCCGACCTGGTTGGGCATAGTTTGAGACTCTTGGTCGGTGTCTCTTTCCTTGCCTCCTGCAGTCTTGCTCCGGCACCAGCTCCACCATCTCCGTGTGTTGTAAGGAAACCAGGTGAATCGGCAGTGGCTCGAGCAGTTCTGCGCACAGTACAGTTTCGGTTCGGTTCGGTTCGGGAATTTTTGGTGGAGTAGCAGGCACTGCAGAGTTCAGATTTCTCCAGGCATGTGATCCGGCTTCATTGATCACAGTAGGCATTCCAGACTGTTCCTGCCATGGTTCACTGTCTCAACTGGAGGGGGGGGGGGGGTGTCTCTTTGGAACTGGTCGCTTCGAGTTCGCCTGGTGGCTTCCTGACACCCTCCCTTTCTTGATGCCCTTTCCCAGGGCATCAGGTTGGTTTCCATAAGAAACCATTTATAAGAATTGGTGGTAAAGCAGCCAGCTGACCAGGTCTGCCACCCTTCTACCCTCCAAATGAGATAGTGAGGTGGGGCAAACCAGCCCGCACTAGTTTGACAAATTTTTAATCGCCTATTTAATTTGTTGGGGGAAGTTATTTTGTCGGTTTTGTGGCTGCGGTCTGATTTCATCCAAGCAGTAGTCTGTTTTGTTTTGCCAACTTTTTGGGTGCCTTCCCTTGGTGGTGGTAGACACGAATAAATTTAAACAAAAGGTTTTCACAGTGCCACTGCTCCCCACACCTGAGGGGACCAGGTTCTGGATCGTGATCCCCAGTAGGCTAATAAGAACTCCGCGACTGATGACGCCTAGTAGTTTGGTACTGTATCAGTGTAATAGCTTCAGGGAGCCACAAGGTGCTCCCCCCCCCTAATAG